CAGCTCAAAGAACTAGATATTCTTGATGGGCAAATGTACTATGGACATTCTATCTGACTAGGATGTTCTTTCCCCCAAACAAGGACTGGATTCTACATTTAGATGGTGAATGTTCAGTTCCTTCCTTGGAGCATAATGTAGCATTCTACTAGGTAACAGAACTTCTTTTTTGTCTTTTCCCTTCATGTGCTTCAAAACCGATCTAACCACCCAGGGCTCTTTGAAGTCAAAGGAAGCTCTGAACCCAGGGAAACTCTGATGTCTGGGGCAGGGACTCTCAAGATAAATGAGACAAACAAAAAGGAACGTTAGGAGAAAAAGAGAGGTTGAACCCTTTGAATGTCATGCACCATGTTGATGCCCCAGTCGATGAGAGAATCTTGTACACAAATCAGCAAGTCATGACTGGTAGAAAAAGAACAGAGTAAATATACAATAACAGTTGAATTCTATCTGGACCAGGAAGTGAAAGTTCATACATCAATGAAACAATTATTCTGTCTTGATTGGAGATGCCAACTTTGAGTCAGATAACTAAGGGTCAAAAAGCATAAAATCTGACCTTGGATTTATTGCTTGTTTTAGTTTTGCCATCCCAATAGGTATTGAAAAGATCAGTTTTGGTTAGATTTTTGCCTTTTAAGGTCCTGAGCTCCAGGAATATTAACATTTGTAGTTAGAGTGAATTAATCACATTATGGTACATATAAACTAACCAAAATCAGATTATACATTAAACTGCTGCACGCTAGTCTTAAAAGCGTCTACCTAATCATTGCCTAATTCCTTGAAATTTCTGCAATGTTTCCATACAAAGTGGGAAAATACAAAGCCTAGGATTAACTACTGATAGCTAACAAACATAGAGAGGCTATTTCTTTTTTTTTAAGATTTTATTTATTTATTTGAGAGACAGAATGAGAGAGCACATGAGAGGGGGGAGGGGCAGAGGGAGAAGCAGACTCCCTGCTGAGCAGGGAGCCTGATGCGGGACTCGATCCTGGGACTCCAGGATCATGACCTGAGCCGAAGGCAGTCACTTAACCAACTGAGCCACCCAGGTGTCCCGAGAGGCTATTTCTATTGATCTGTTGAAGCCTAGAAAGAATCATCCGATAGCACTTATTTTCATTCACAGTATTTTATCAAGCCATAATAGGATATGACTCCTGGATTTATAATAATATATTAAATATGTAAACTGTCTAACATATTTATTAAATATACTTGCAAATATTAGGAGTGTTTAAGTCACTCTTAACATGGACATACTTCATACATACCAAGCATAACTTCCTTGCTCAAATGTGTTTATACAGCTATAAAATCCCCAAATTAAAGATCAATCAGGAAAAGTAAAATATTGCTAAAGAATGAGCATGTGAGATTTAAGTGCTAGGAGAAAATTACAAAGGGCTTCCTCTGACATGACTTTAGGTGGGATCCAGTTTGTGGTTGATTCTCTTAAAAGTAATTCTGTTTTAACATCTCCCTAACTGTAACAGTTTCACTAATTCATCAAAGATATTGACCAACTTATCTGTCTTTTCCACTATTGTTTCTAGATTTTAAAATGCCAAGATGGAAAATAATTACACACGCAAGCAGACAATACTGTAGCTTACAGGTATTTATACACAATTTGAAAGCCTCCTTTTTTTCTATGGGAAATGTATAATGTACACCTAACTACCTGGGTTTTAGCAAATTTATTCTTGTGTAAAGTTAGATTTAATAAGAGCAAAATGCTGTACAATTTTATATAATGTCTGTTTTAGACAAAAGATGGATTGAAAAGAAAATTATATTGGACTTATGAAAATGCTCGTGTCAAACTTGGATGGATTGACAAAATTATATTTATGACCCATAATAGCTGTGAAATATTAGCCATTTGGCTTCTCATCTATTGAAAAATTTCTCATAAAATGTAAAAAAGAAAAATTAGCCTTCTTTGCATTTTTTCTCATATAGTAAGACACATGCTATTTTGATTTAAGCTGCATATTGTTGGAAGTAAGTTGTGAAATATACAAATTCTGCCAAGGACACAGAAGGTAATTCAGTCAAGAGTAATTGTGTCAATTTCTAACTCAGATTAAATTTGATTTTTTGAGCACTGAAAGTGAGGTCATAAAGAGTATTTTTAAATCTACACTTGTTCAATTACCACAGTTGAGTTTTTATACTAAAATATATTCATCATAATCAGAATAAATTTGAACTTTATATTTAATTAAACAAATGGCTTAGGGTCAAGGAAGTATTTCGAGTTTAATAAAACCTTGCTGCAGTTTTACTTACTTTGAAAGGAAAACTTAATTTGTTTCTTTTTATGTTTCATAGTTTTATTACAAAAAATGATATAATTTGAAATGAATGTTTCAAAGGAAAAACAGCTATCAAAATCTTGATCCATAACTATTCTCAATATTACATATTATCATAGAGATTTAGGGCAAAGGTACACCTATTTTAATGTATCATGTTAGCTATGAACATTTACAAAGTACTTATCTTTTTCTTCTAGTTTCTTCCAGCAAATCAAAACTTCTCATCATTATCTCTTAACTCTTCACATACAGAAGGGAAATGATATTTATCTAGAGTCTTTTTTTGTGCAATGCTTTCTGGAAAGTATATATGCATAATTATTACTCCTACTTTATGGGTACAGAAACTAAGGATAGACATGTCTAATTAGTAAATAACAAAACTGGAACCCAAGGAAAACGTGCTCAAGACCAAAGCCTTTGAATTATAGGCTAATGCTTTGGGGTTTGGTTTACTCTTGATGGTCTTACAATTACAATTCTATTTGGAGAGCTCAGCTTCTGTGTTTTTGTTTTTTTTTTTAAGATTTTATTTATTTATTTGACAGAGAGAGAAAAAGAGAAAGAGAGCACAAGCAGGGGGAGGGCCAAGCAGAGGGAGAGGGAGAAGCAGGCTTCCCACTGAGCAGAGAACCTGACGTGGGCCTCAATCCCAGGACCCTGGGATCATGACCTGAGCCGAAGGCAGACACTTACTGATTGAACCACCCAGGTGCCCCTCTGCTTCTGTTTTATAAACCATAAGCTTGCAAAACAAAACAAGAAAACCTTACACTAGCCTTTGTAGAGTTGTTTATTCTTTGTTACTTACGAAGGATTTAAGACCCTAACATTGAAGTAATGGTCACTCTTCCTAACAATAAGCAAATCAAATGGAAGTTTCAGGACCAATGCAATATTAACATAATGCTCTCCAATGAATCTGGGCCCAGCAATTTTTTCCCTTTTGTGAATTATTTCACAGTGAACCTTCTATACAAATTGTGCTCCTATTAGGCGTTGTTTTCTCCTTGGTAAGCTGAAGTAGAGGTCAGGTTCATTACAGTGGAAAGCACGGCAGGAGAGTTTTTGGCTTCCTAATGGTCCTAACATTAAGTGTGACATGAGCGTGTTCACAATCTCTCCAAGTCTATACTACCCGCAGTGAGCTAAAATGAGGTGCACCAGGCTCAGAAAGAGGATGTCCATATCAAAGTCTTGCTCTGTCACTTACTAGCCAGGGAATCTCACACAGACCACTTAGTCTGCATCTATCTGAAAGAGAAAAAAAATATCAACACAGTGATTTCCAAATTTTGCTGCACATTAGAATCACCTGCAGAGCTCTGGAGACATCCCAATCCCCAGGCTGCACCCCATAGGGATTAAATCAGGATGTTCAGGTACGGGAGCCCAGTCTGAGTAAATTTTAAAGATACTCAAGTGATTCCAATGTGCAGCAAGGTTTGGGAGCCACTGAATTAACTAATACTTTCACAGAGCTGCTTTTAAGATGAAAAAAAAAAATGGAGAGACTTTGTATAATAGCATATAGTACTTTGCAGAGTGATATGAAATATAACCCCCAAAGTAAGTACAGTGCTGTAAAAAAATACATTATTTTAAGAAGCTTGATATTTGTTCAAATTTTAGTTCAGCAATCATAAAGAAACTATACACAAGTGATCAGTTTTACTGGATTCTTTTTTGCCAGAGTTACAGCCAATCTAACAATTCCTAAAATTTTCATTTCATTCATTTCAATTTCATTTTCATTTCATTTAAAGCTGTTTTCAACATTATTTTAACCTTATTTTTTCCTTACCTTTTTCCTTCTCTATTAAAAATTAAGAAAAGTGTCATCTATTTTGTTTCCTTCAAAAAGTATCAAGTACTATATTCTCATTATGTGCTTAAAATAATCATAAAAGAATTACGTGGGGACACCTTCGTGGCTCAGTCAGGGAAGTGTCCAACTCTTGATTTTGGCTCAGGTCATGATCCCAGTGTCGTGGCACTGAGCCCCAGGTTGGTCTCCATGCTCAGTGGGGAGTCCGTTTGAGATTCTCTCTCTCCCTCTCCATCTCCCCCTGTCCCCCTCCTAGCCCCAAGTGCATGTGCACAGCATGCTCTCTCTATATATACATATATCTCTCTCAAATAAATAAATTTTAAAAAAGAATATGTGCAGAAAAGAAATCTGAGCAGTCAGAAAAAAAAATTTGTCTGAAGTGACTTAGTTCAATGCTACAACTTATTTAAAAAAATATATCATACACTCTAGACATTTTGTTCTAATAATCCACCATAATGATCTATTCGGAAACAAAGACCTATTTAGTAAACATTTCTTGCCCAGATTTTTTTCACCTCCTGATGACATAAATCATTTCTGTGCTAAATTTGTAATCAATACATCAGATTCAACCAGTTTATACACAGTCCTTGTTTTGTATTACTATCATCAATTTCCATCACCTTCTAGTTAATTAGACTTACCAAAAGGATCATGTAACTTATGTAATTAGAGTTCAAATAACATGTTGCCTAATGAAAATGCACCCTCTGTTTTGTTAATAGACATATTAATATACCCAATGACAACAAAATACTAAAATTAAACTCTGTTAATAAGCAACTACAAATGTAATCCATCCCCTGAATGATTTTTGCCTGGGGGTCTTTTACCTTTGGAGGCTTGTTAGCATCCATGCCCTCTTTGAATTTCTCCTGCATAGTTTCTGCAAGTTGACAGAGCAAGGCACCATTATCCAATTTTTCCATAAAAGTTTCTGCTGTAATCTCCTTCCCTACAATAACAAAAAGAAGCATTATAAAAACACAATCATTCCCCAATGCAAATGTGACATTGATGCCAACGTATTTGACACAGTTTTTATCACCAAAATTTCTATTCCAGCTGAGTTACATATACCTGGGATGGGAACTCAAGGAAAGAATGGTTTCTTTGGAATTTTATGTTTTCCCTTAGTGGCAAGAACCAAACATTTTACATTTTCATAACATAATTTCAACTGCATAAAAATTTTATTTCACATTAAAAGTGGCAAAATGATATCCTATGTGAGAGTCCCACCACTTGGCAATCAAGAGGAATAAAAACCAACCAGTCAATGAAACTCAAACCGTTTTACCAATGATTGTACAGTTTGACCTCTGAGATTCATTCAGTTGTCGTCCTCAATAGCCCATTCAATTACTCTGGGCTGCAAGGCAAAGACAGAAAGCAGAATGGTCAATCTGTGTTTTGCTTATGTCTTTGATGACAAGAACACCAAAGCTCTCCTTTCTTTAATTTGAAATAGAGGCATGCTACATCAAAAAGCAACCACCATTGGCAACTGTACTAGCATAGCCAATGCATAAACCACGTTTCTAAGTTCTATTGAATTTGTTTTCCTGATTAAGATAATGCAGGCAAAACCAATACAAGTGATAAACTCTGAAAGACTACCTCTCTAACCATTCCGTCTTCCTGCCACCATCTTTGAACTCTGGATTATCAGGTTCAGTCTCTGTTCTCTCTTCTCAAAACCACTCAGCTTCGACTACTGCTCTTATGAACATTATTAACAGTTGTCTATCCCTGACATTTAACCAGTTAAAGGTTGTCTTCTTTTTTATATTCTCCCAAAACATATTTTTTTTTCCTTTAATTTTGTAATGGCTTTATTGTGATATAATTCACATGCCTTACAATTCACCCATTTTAAGTGTATAATTCAGGGGCTTTTAGTACATTCAGAGTTGTGCAATCATCACCACGAACAATTTCAGGACATTTTTATCACCCCCCAAAAGAAACCCTCTACCTGTCACTCCTGATTCCTTCTTTCCCTCAGCCACTAATTTTTTTCTTATATGCTCCTCAAATTCATTTCCCCCAAAGCTCTCTCCTTTTCCTGGTGCTCTAATTCTCTAAGTTTCAGCATATTTTATTTCCCTGCTTTAATTTCCTATAACATATTAGTCACAAGTCCTGTAGATTCATGCTTCCTTCTGTTTCCAGTACCATAATCGTAATAAAAATTTTCATGATTTGATACCTAAACCTCTAGCAACAAAAACAGTGGCTATTCCCTGTCCTCAACTTCTCTCTCCAATACGTATCACACTCATTGCTAAAATTATTATTGCTAAATACCACATTCACTGGGTCATTATTCTTCTTCATTGCATAGTCCCTAGTCTTCTCTTCCACCCAAAATATGAAATATATCCACTTGAACATATCCAAAGGCTGACCCTTATGCCTCTAATCCACCTTTCTAATCTAACATCCTTATACTCTCCCTGACTCTTGGTCTGCACCCTGCCTTCACAGTTCCTCCAGCAAGACCTTCTCATTTCTACTGTCAAGCCTTTCTTCCTGGCATTGCTTCTGCCTATGATGTCCTCTTCCCTTGTATCTGCTTGACCAAGTTCTAGCTTTCCTTTAATCGGAAATCCAGAAAGAGATTCTCCCAGTGCATACTGATCTCTTTTCTATATGGTCGCATTCAAAAGCATCACTTATTTTGGCAACTTATCAAACCTCTTCTATTGCTACTAATATGTTCTGTGTAAAGTTCATGTCTTCCTCAAACCTCTTGGGGCATGTTGTGTGTGGGGGGGGTGTGGGTGTGGGTGTGTGTTCCTACAGATGTAAGTATGTTATTATCATAGTAGGCACCTAGAAAATATGTTCAGTGAACATGTAAATTAACAAATGAAGAAATAAACTGCTGGAAAACTTTGACAAAATGTTGGGTATTCTTTTTGTAAAAAGTAGTTAAGTTAAAACAAAAAAGAAAGGAACACTTTAAAGTTTTATATGGAGATTCTCATACGATTAGCTTTTATCTTAAGAAAAAAATGCATGCAGTTCAATTCCATGAACACTTAAATATAACCCAACTGGAACAATAGATAAACTACTGGCTTAAAGTTCAACTCACGATATATAATATATTTGGATTTCAAGAAACATCCGTTTGAAATTTTTTTTTTTACCGTTTTGGGGGAAGGGCAAGTAAAGAAGGAAAGAAAATTACCTTTTTAAAAATGTTCTTTTTTCCCTACTGGATACTTTGCATTTTAGTCCCCAGTAAGCATAATGACTTCTGCAGGTGGCAAAACATGAGTAGCTCTAACTACTCACCACAGAGGTAGCCTATACAAAACTACTATTATTTCAGAATTGTGTGCAGCTCAACTTAATTCAGGAATTAAAGTAATATTCTCAAGATACAAAAAGTGAGCACAACAAAATTTGTATTATGCATGCATCATATTGGCCTGCATTTGCTAATAAGAAAGTTATTTTGGAAATAAGTATGAAAAGTAAATATTAGAAATATTTTCAAAACTGTCAATTAAATTTCAAGGTAAAGAAGATAAATTTTACTCCAAATTATTGAATTATTCCTTTATAAATTAGTTATAAGATTCTCTACATTTGAAAGAGGCCTTTAGGTATTCATATTTCATTACATTCCATGGCAATTTAAAGATTCTATTCATAATGTTAAGTGACAAGATGATTACAATGAATTTAAAAGAACTTGTAAAGTATAAAAAGAAAAATGCCTTTCATTAAAAAGTTATTAGCAATTTACCAAAAGGTATGATTTTTATTTTTTATGCATTATACCTGAAAATTTTTAGTTATTCTGATTTTCATGAATACTTGAAGAAAGAATTTACATTAAACATCTGTATCTAATGAAAAATATATTAGGTGTCAGCTTTCAATTCTGTATATTTTATAGCTCCAAAAGTTGGATTTTTTCTTCTTCTTTGCTAAAACAGACACAGTTACGTACTTTATAGTTGAAACATACTGCCTCAAATGAAGGAAAAATGCAAGATGGAGAAGTTTTTTTAAATCTTCATATGTAACATATTTTCCACCCAAAGAATCATAAAATACACATTTTAAACATACTTTATAATTGTAAGAGATCAATATAATCTTTATATGGAATGATATATTATCTCACTCTTATTATTACCAAAAATTTTTAAAAAATCATCACATAAAGTTAGCTCAATTTAACCATGACAAGTCCATTAGAACAAGCTATATGAAGCACTAATTACAATTTCTTGAGTAAACATTATAAAAAGCTAAATACCTCTGTTAGGCAAAACCAGATCTTCTTTAATCAGAATTGTGTAGCTTTTTTGAGACATTAGATTATAAATACTAGATGCAGTAGGATTCTAGAATCATAGAATCACTTCTTCCCCAGCTCTGTCCTTCCATGTTATTGGTATGTTTAGGAAAAGATAGGGCAATGAATAGATACAATTAAATCATCTTGGAGTACCAACTGACCCACACTGGAGTATAAAGACTATGACTTGAAAGTTAATCTAAAATAGCCTAGTCTAGGGGTGCCTGGGTGGCTCAGTTGGTTGAGCCTCTGACTCTTGATCTCAGCATAGGTCTTGATCTCAGGGTTGTGAGTTCAAGCCCTGTGTTGGGCTCCACGCTGGGCATGGTGCCTACTTAAAAAATAGCCTAGTCTAGAAGTAGTATCTTTACTTCTTGAGTTCATAATTGTGGAGTCTGATCTTCATACCACCAATTCAGCATGATTGACAGCTTGCCAATAAACAAAGATCAGGAAATTTGGTTAAAGATTGTGGTTAGTCACGTCCTCATAAAATGCTAGGGCATAATAATATGAAATAAAGATCTGCCTGAAATTTTTTGCCAAGTAACTAAATCAGCACACATGCTTATACACATCAGTACATTCCTCCCAGAAGTATGTGCTTGCCATAATTTCCATCATGATTAAGTATCAATCAGTAGTGTTTTAGACTGAAGCCACCTTTTTACCTTCTACTTTGCTGAGAAAAAAAGTTTTCCTTCCAGTAAGTTAGCAGTACTAAACTCGGGTTCCTAAAGATATGATAACATCTAATAATGGTATTTAACATTTGAGACTTAACTATATGCCAAGCACTTTACATGTATTCATGTTTTTAATCTCCTCACCAATCTGTGAATTGGGTGCTATTATTGTCTCCATTTTACAGATGATGAAACTGAGGTATTAGATTAAGGAATTTGCTTAAAGTTTCTCAGTGAATTTGGATCTTTAACCCATGATATCTAGGTTTATTCAGTGAATCTGGATCTTTAACCCATGATATCTAGATTTAGAGTCTAATGCTCCCAGCTACTATGCTTGGCTACTTAAATATTTGCTGAATACACAAATAGCTATTTTCTATAATAAAGTATTCTCCCTAATTCTGTTGTCTTTTTCTTTGTAGAACTCCAACAAAGCCTTTCTGAAACAACAACAACAAACAAAAGCCACTTGGACCTGAAGACATTGTTGCTAAAGACTGAAGAGCAGTCCACTGTGTAGACTGGAGAATGGCTGAGAAAGTCATTCAAGATGTTCTGATGTGTGGCCTGATTCACTGCAGAAAACTGGTGTATATATCATCTCTAAAGCTGATGCAGACAGGACCCAATTCTACTGCAAACTCAAGTGTACCTCTTAATCCTCATATATTTCTCCAATTGGAGAACTCAAAGCAACTCATGGGCTGTTTTAACTCAGATTATTCAGTGTTTTGAAGGCTGGGAGATAGGAAATGATTCATTATATCCAGAAGCCCTAGATCAACACCTGCTCCCTGCTGATTCAAAGTATCTACCCTGCATTTCTATCAAGAAAAGACAAAGCTGTTTCTGTTGGAAACGTTGGGTAAAAAAAATGAGGCATTATCATCTCTGAAAGGTGTCAACTTGTGAACATGAATTTGATTCTTTAAACTTTTGAAC